GATGGATGGATGGATGGATGGATGGATAAATGTGATGAGGTGGAGAAGCATCTACAGCATCTGCAGTCTGCAGATGTGTAAAGGTACACACTAAATACTTCCACACCAACAGTATAATATCTTTCTAGCTTATATTTGGTCGCACTCTACTTTATTATTACTAGATTTGTTAGAATATACACTGTCTCCAAATTTATATTTAAGGAAAATCTGTTTAAATTTTAAAAATCTGTCAGTAAACAATGATGGAACAAAGTCTTGTTGTCAAAATTTTAGTTAGTTGTTTACTTAAACTGGTTTAAAACGTGCTTACTCGGGAAACTTTATGGGTTTAAACTGGGATCTAACAACCAAAAAAGGGAACTAACTGCAGGTGTGGGTCCTTAAATTTTCACTAAATGTTACATCATCATACGTCACTTTGCAGTCAAATTAGGTGCAGAAATGTCAGATTCCCTCAAAACCTCATGACACTGAAATGAAGCGCAGGAAAAAAACTTTGAGTTTAAAATAATCATTAACCATAAGTCTAACTTCTGAATTTTAAAAGACAATGCATTTTTTAGAATAATCAAGTGAACTATAACAGAAAACTTACATGATCAACAATTAAATTAAATTTGGTTTCATGCTCTAAGACTCGACAGAGACATTGATGCATTCACTGCATTATTTAGATAAACCTGATTACTTTTTTCATATATTTATTTGATCAAAATATACAGTAACATACAGATTTAACATCAATCTTTGTCAGAAAGTGACATTTTTCCATGGTATAAAATCGTATCTATTATTAATTTTCTTCATCATTCTCACTGTCGCTGTCTAACAGTCGGGATTGGCGAGCCAGCCGCTCTGCCACAGCCGTTACCAGGGCAGCTCCCTTCCCACTGCCGTCCTCTGAGATAAGGAAGGTGAGTTCACACTCGGGGGCTAAGGTTTTCACTTTTTTCTGGAGTTCTTCACTGAAACTGGAGAAAGGAATGATAGACAAAAAACGGAAATGAGATATCTGAAGGTCTGACGAGGCTAATGGTAATTTTACAATAGTTACAGAAATCACAGACAATAAAACATTCCAATTACACATAATACAGTAGGGTTTGTATAAATATACACTTTCTTTTCATGGGATGTGTCAGATGCTCAGTCTGTAAGACAAACCCTGTGTAAAATATTAGTTGATTTTTGTTGAAACCAATCACTTTGAGGATGTTATAATCACTCACTAAGTTGTGATATTTATCCAAAATTAACCTGGCATATTTCTGGTAATTAGTATTACTGGGCTAATTATCTTAAGTGTCAGCTAGCATCTGTTAGCATTGTTGGCTACCATTAATGGTAATGGGAAAATATATTTTATCTGTGATATACTGAAGTCTGGGCTAACGCTTGCAAARCAATTCCAAATCCGATTTTTGTTTTGCAGAAAAGAGTTGTAAGAATTATCACTAGCAAAGATTACAACCATCCATMAAATACAYTATTTTACAAACTGAAAATTTTGAAATTTGATTTGGTTCACYATAATATTTTACTGTTTATGTACAAGGCTCACAGAAACATATTACCTTCCAACATTCAGGCAAATTTTGTTAAGTGAGACAGTTGTTATGTTAAGGGGATGGAAATGTTTGTGAAGCCATATTTCATACTTGCTTGAGAGAAAGATGTACTTTACCCCAGGGTATATAGTTTACCCCAGGGTATGTAGTTTACTCCAGGGTATATAGTTTACTCCAGGGTATATGGTTTACTCCAGGGTATATGGTTTACTCCAGGGTATATAGTTTACTCCAGGGTATATGGTTTACTCCAGGGTATATAGTTTACTCCAGGGTATATG